GGGAAGATTTGGGCTGCCGAGCTTGGACCCCGTGCTGAAGCAGCAGGTGGAGGATGATACTCTCTTGTGGCTGAGACAGGTTTACCTACATCACCGGGATCGAAGGCTGCTTCCCCTGAGAAGGTGGTCACGGCACTGGAGCAGCCCGACGACCCAGAGGCCTACCTGGGGGAGTCCAAGAAGGAAGAGGAGGTGGACCGGCATCGCTGTCCGACGTACTGGTCGTGGCCAGAGTGGCAGGCGATCAAGGAGATGTGGGACCTCTTTGAAGTGCGGTTCGATCAAGGACCGATGGGACACTCCCGTCGAAAGCCGACAAGGTTGGGCACGAACATGCCGAGACTCAGGGAGCTTGAAGGCCTCCGTGGACCGGGGCATGGTGGAGAAGATCATCGAGGAGACTCCATCCAGGAGAGGATCGCGAAGAGGATGGACCTCAATGCCTGGCAAAGGCATCTCCTCAACGGGCACTTGCCCTATAGTAGAGAACGCAGGGCATGTGTCGTCGCCCACAGACGCGTCCCGCGTCCGGACGCATATACCCTTTCGATCGACGCAGCTGGACCGTTCGAAGTGGCGGAGGACCAACTGGGGAAGGGGCGCTACCTGCTCGTGGGCGTCTATCTGGCTCCGGTGACCAAGGATGGACAGTCGCTCATCCCCATCAACGAGGAGGATGAACTTGCGGGGGCACTGGGGGATGGTCCGGAGCTGACGGTGGTCGAGACGGAAGAGAAAGGGGGCGTGCGAGAAGTGTGGCCGGGGTTGGATGACGAGAAGGCCTGGCTGGAGAAGGTGGAAGCAGAGAGCGATTTTCAGGTCAAGCAGGTCCTGGTCGTTGAGGTGCTGGAGAACCGAGGAGGACCAGCGGTGGTCGAGGCGATTGGGAGGATGGCAGCCAAGCTCGGCTTCTTGGGGCTCCCGGTCAAGCGACTCCACTCGGATCGAGCGGGGGATGCCGCGACAGGGGCATCATGAGAACCTTCAACGACGGCGACAACTTCAAGGGAAACGGCCGTGCAGAGAATGCGATCGCCCAGGTCAAACGTGGGGCACGAACGCTCCTCATTGCGGCCGGTTTGGATGAGAGTTTTTGGTGTCATGCAGCCAGGCATTGGGCAGAAGGTCGCCTGAGACGTCAGCTGGAGTCGATGGGTTGGAAAAAGCGGGACCTGGCCCCCTTCGGACAAGTGGTTTGGGCAAAAAGGAAGTACTACAGCGATCGGCAGAAGTACCTCTCCACGACCCGAACACAAGTCCGAGTGCTATGCCCAGCGGTCACTATGTCGATGACGACTCCTGGCTATATGGCTCAGGAGATTGAGACCGGCAAGCTGTTCCATACTGGTGACATCATCCAGGTCGGAGAGATCCCAGCAGAAGCCAGAGCAGGCAGAGCTGTTGGAGGACGCCGGGAAGGCAGCTGGAGATCAACAGGAGTTCCTGCAGACCAGAATGGTAGGGTTGACGGAGGTGAGGAAGAACCTGGAAGAGTGGAAGCCTTCCATGATCGAGGAGTACGTCGCACTGACCAAGGAGTCGGAGGCCGTTGAAGCCATTGGTCAGGGGCAGTCGGATCGATTGAAGGAGGAGGCAAGGGCTCAGGGCAGGGACTTCGACCTGGTGCCCGCGAAGGCCATCTTCAGTCGAAAGGCGGGAACCGGGAGACACAAGTGCCGAGGGGTGGCATGTGGGAATTTCATGAATGCCAAGAGCTCTGAATCCACGTTCGCTTCAGGGGCAAGTGGGATTGAGGTGAGGATGCTGATCAAGCTGGCTGCGATCAACCAGTGGGCTCTGAGCACCCTTGATGTCAAAACGGCATTCCTCAATGCCCCAGCGGCTCATGACCGTGGAGTGGTGGTAGTTCAACCCCCACGAATCTTCCAGGAGGCCGGGGTGCTCCAAAACCCAAAGGAATTGTGGCTTGTCAAGAAAGCCCTTTACGGGCTGGTGACCTCACCACGTGACTGGTGCGACCATCGAGATGGAAAGATCAAGAACTTCCAGTGGGAGAGAGGAGGTCGACCGGTGAGGGTACAAGCGACCCCCCAAGCTGACATCTGGCTGGTACAGGAGCAGGATGATCAAAACACCTGGACAACCAAGGGGGCACTGGCCACTTACGTGGATGATGTGCTGATGGTGGGTGAAGAGGAGATCATCCAGGGGTTCATCAACCAGGTCAAGATGCACTGGGCATCGAAGAGGCCACTTCAGGTGATCAAGATCGGAAAGCAGCTCAGAGCCTACCTCCGGGAGACGATTGATGAGGCTCTGGGATGTCGGCCGACAACGGAGGCGACGGGGAGAAGGTCACCGGCGATGAGAAGGCAGTGACCGGGGAGAAGGCGAAGGTGGGGCTCCACTCGGATTCCACTGCGGCCATAGCAATTGCCACAGGTACTACGTCATCGTGGAGGACCAGGCACCTGAGGATTTGGGCAGCTGGACTCACCGAGGCGATCAAGGAGAAGGAGATCACCTTGGATCATGTGTCCGGGAAGGTCCTCGTTGCGGATGGCTTCACCAAGCAACTCACGGGACCGGTGTTGGGAAGGTTCAAGAGAGCACTGGGACTCCGGGGGGAAGAGAGGGACCCGATCGTGGTCAAGAAGATTGAGCTCACCAAGAAGGTTGAACCGGGGTTCACTCGAGGAATTGGACTCCTCATTGCGGCCACCAGTCTGTTGGGAAGAGTGGAGGCGGCAGAGGTAGAGGCAGCGGAATCCACGGGTGAATGGTGGATCATTGTGTTGATCACGGCGGCCATCGCCATTCTGGTGGACATCGCCTTCCGAGTGGGAACCTCTGGCATCCAACGCTGGTTCAAACCAAAGGAAGAGATCAAGGTGAAACTGCTCAACCCGGAGGCCCGACTTCCGACCAGAGGTTCGGACCAAGCTGCTGGATTGGACTTGTACTCGACCATTGAAACACTGGTTCCTCCAGGAGAGAGCGTTTTGATCAAGACCGGGATCGCCATCGAGCTGCCAGCTGGGACCTACGGAAGGATAGCCCCACGATCTTCGCTGGCCATTCGAAGCATTGAGACAGGAGCTGGAGTGGTGGACCGGGACTTCCGGGCGAGGTGAAAGTCCTCCTGAGAAATTGGTCAGATGAAGATCTTCGAGTTTACAAGGGAGATCGGATCGCTCAGCTGGTGGTGGAGAAAATCCTGGAGGTCGGGGTGAACCACGTTGAGGATTTGAGCGAGACCGCCCGAGGAAATCGAGGATTTGGATACTCGGCACACGCGGAGGCATACCCATGGGCAGACCCTGACGATCCACTCTACCAGAGGCAGGAGCTGGGAACTCGAAATCCCGTGAGCAGGATCTCGATGAGAGCTATGAGGGTGAGTTCAGAACAGGCTCAAGCACCGGAGACGGACCCTGGGCAGACATCGGCGGCTGATGCAGGTGGCACTCAGAGCCAACTATCTGCAGACCGACCTGGACCAGCTGAACGTCATCAGTACCCGATCCTGACCTATGGCATCGTGGACCCTACGATCCCGAAGCTGAAAGGAAGAGGCGAGCAGCGTTGGGACTGGGAATGTCGGCATGGGATCGACTGATGGAAAGAAGAGGACCACGGAGGAACTTTGGAGGAACATGGATCATGTTGGACTCAGAGGGCACCCACGTGATCTTCAATGAACATGGCTCAGATCGACGCCCTAATCCACCGAAGACGCCTACATTGGACGAAGGACTGGAGAGGGGAGCTTCGTCCTCGACATCCGGGAGGGCGCCGGGCTTAGCGAAAGTTGAGACGGAAGAGAAGGAGGCGACTGGGCGCCGGACTGAGGCTGGGAGCCGAGGACCTGAGGAGGGGTCCGTGACAGGACAGCGAATCGGCGTGCGGAGTTCATTTCGCCAGTGGGGGACGGGGTCACTCTCGGGAAGTGGACCCTATGGAGGGAGGAGGTGTTCGACTTCCTGCAGGACGAGACGTTCCAGCCGGGCTTTCTCACGGCGGCATTGAGGAGAAAGGTGGGACTTCCGCCAAAGCGAACGGCGGCAAAGGACACATGGTTGACCATCGAGGACTTGCCCGATGGAGGGAAGGTGACGATTCGTGAACACGTTCAAGAGAGGAAGAAGATGTTTGACTTCGAGAATCCTCACCTATGGGATGAGAAGGAATGGCTGCCATGGAGGCTGACGATTGCCTGGGCGACCATCAAGAAGGAGAAGTACATCCTGGTGGACCGGAGGCAGGGGAAGAGGAGTGTTCATTTGCCTGACGCGTGGGTCGGGTATACGCTCTTCCGCACGCCCCGGCTGGAGTGAAGGGCTTGAGCTGAGGTCCAAAAGGGACCATTTTTGGAAGAGGGCCGCAAGGCTTGCCTTTTTTCAAAAGGTTTGGGCACCACAGATCCGCTGAAGCAGCGGAGGGGGAGTCCAGGTGCACAAATAAGAAGTGTACCAAGAAAGAGGTTGAGGTTCGAAAGGACCAAATCGAGAAGTGTACCAAGGGGCCGATGACATGAAGCCCTTTCTTTGATCAAGCGGTAAAAAGGAAGGCCGCTGTCCGTGCGGTTGAAACTTACAAGGATTCCTGCTCTTTGCTGTTTGGACCCCACACTGTTATTGATATATCGGACTACCAACTTCTTTGTAACATCAAACAGGCCGCCGTAAATAGAACTTGTCCTTTTGCCACACGCTTATGATGCATGGGACTGTGCCAAGTCCCAAAGGCTTTCGAGCCTCTCATGGTACTGCTCTTGGTACTCTTGACTATTGTGCTGTCTGATGCGTAGTGTGTTTGCATGTTCGGCTGGTTTCTATTTTCTTGTACTTTTGGTGGAGTGTTCTGTTTCACCAATTTCTTTCACAGCTCTGCAAGCTTTGTAACTCACTGTCTCTATTGTTTTTTTCATCCTTTCGCATGGCTGTTGGGAGCCCAATTGTGCTCGGGGGAAAAACAATCGCTAGTATGGTGGAGGCCGTTGCTATTAGGTTCCTTACATCCTTTTTTCAATGCTCAAGGCCGAGAGCAGCGAAGCTAACTCACCTGATTTTGGAGGCTTGGACGCAGACTTTCAATGCTTGGGATGCTAGCCGAATGCATTCTCTCACAACCCCTTGGGTGCTGGCCCTACTACCTAGGCCTCTCGACTTCTTCATATCATTTCGGCCTAATACCAAAAACCCTTATTCATTTGTTCCCCTGTGAGGCTAGGGAGTCAAAAAGCCCGAGCTAGACGACTTTTCGGCCGAGCGAGCACATCGGGACAATATGCACCTGCAGAAGGAACTAGCGCGTGCTAGCAGCCATAGTAGTGGTGGTGGTGCCGTAGTGGTGGTAGTGGTCATAGCGGTCATAGTGGTGGTAGTGCTAGTTGTGGTGTTGGTGCTAATAATTGTGGTTAGTGGTAGTGGTAGCAGCGGAAGTACTTCTAGCTGTGGCATGAGCGAGAGTAGTGGGCACTGTGTGCAGTGTGGGGGCAGTGTGGAAGTACGGAGGAGGAGGAGGAGTAGTAGTAGTTGTCGTCCAAATCGTCATCGTCGTCACCGTCGCTGTCGTCACCATCGATGGGTCAAGTTGCAACAGTCCACAAATGATTGTCAGAGCTGAAGAGAACTGCAATTGCAATCTTTCAGACTTTTTGGTCAGGCGATTTGAATTGCATGAGCAGCCCTTCAGAGACATCTGCTTGGCGTCGCGTAATGCGACCACTTGCAAACTGCAGCTTGTCTTGCATTTGGCACTCGAGCGACATTTTGCAGTTCGGCTTCCACAAAGTTAAACGAACAGTTTCATGAACAAGAAAGTTGGCACGTCAAGGATGTTCTGACCTTGCCACAGGTATTGCCTGTGGCGACTTTGAATCCGAAATGTCCAAGCTCAAGCTTCAAAGGATATCTGCCGCTACACGCTTAGCGGCTGGGCTGCCTCACCTTTTGCCTTTTGACAGGTTATGCTTGGCGGCTTTTTGATGTGGTTTTGTCCTCCCAGGATGAGTGCATCAGGAAGCTCCAAGAGCAAGATTTGAATGTAGAGCTTCTGGAAAAGAAGCTGGAGAAGCAGCTGGATCGAATCATTACGGTCATTATCAGTCATTAGAGCACAAGTAATTTGGTGTGAGTTGAGCCTGCTGCGTTTTGGTCCGTCGGGCTTGTGTGAGTTGTGCCGAGGGCTGTTTGTGACTTGAACTCTCGAAGCGCTGAGCTCGAAGCCGAGAAAAGGAGGACTTGAAGCGCAAAGCTTGTTTCCCTAAAAATCAAGAAGCTACTAGGAACAAGTGCATCGCTTCTAGTAACAAGTGCCTTACTAGTAGTAACAAGAAGCTACTAGGAAGAGACCAAATGAATAGCGTGAGCTATCCTGCGTCCATGCTAGTAGCTTAAGTAAGTAAGGTACTAGCTACCTCTCCCTACTAGCTACCTAGCTAACCTACCTCACCTCTTCTCCACGGCCTACCCGCCCGGGCCTTTAAAATGAGATGGACTTAAGACGTGCCATGACCTCGTTGGTTTGGCAGTTGTCAGGACGTCTAGCCTGTCAGCTTTGCTTCTGAACGATTCGGTGAAGGAGCAGAAACTTCAGGAAGAGGCGAGCTAGATCCAACCCAGGCTGTTGCAATTGTTCTTTCACCAAGCTGAAGAAAGGGTGCGATTTTTTCGGGCCGACGCGCCATATCGGTCGTTGCCTTGGTGAGTTGTGGATGCTTTCAAGGGCCCATGAGGACCTGAGAGCACACACCTCACATTGCATCTCAAAGTCTTTTCAACTACTTCTTTTCTCGCCCATCCATCACATTGGCGTCTCACACAGTTCTTGTTTCATTGCCCATCTCATTCTGTTCTTCCGGACCTGCATAATGACGCTTGAGCTTTCCTCAGTCTTCATTTGGGAGTCTGAGAGTGGTTCGCCAACTTTAAGTACTCTAATCCTGCCGTTAATCGGGAACCGACATAAGGCTAAAGGTCTTTTACTCAAGATCCTTCATCTTCATTTACTGTTGGCACTGCATCTCCATGCCATGCATGCGTCCGTCCTCCGATCTTGTCAGGCCAAGGGGTCTGAGGAGCGCGTGGTCAAGGCTGAGGCAGAAATCCAGCGCCTCAGTGCCTTGTTGGAGAAGGAAAGCTTGGAAAAAGAGCATGTGATACAAACCCTGAAGACAAAAGAGACTGAAGCCGCTAAAGCCACGCAACGCTTGTCAGACAAGCTGGAGGTGTGCAAAGAGCAAGTGACAAAGAGCGCAGCTGAGCTCAAGTTCCAAGTAAGCTTGCTAGAGGAGAAGAGGTACGAAAACCACGAATTAGCCCAAAAGGTCGCAAGAAAGTTTATGGAGGCAGAAGACCTTCGAGGCACTTTAGTGGCTTGCCAAGACCGATGTGGAGAGCTGCAGAGTGCTCTTCAGACAAGGGGCCTCGAGAAGGAGCACTTGAGGACAGATCTTCATCTGAAAGAGCAGGAGCTTAAACATACACAAGATGAGCTTCAGGCCATCACAGAAAAATTGCACAAATCAAGCACAAGGCTAGATCAGTGTGAAGCAGAGCTGCTGTCCCTATCATCCGGGCTTAAGATGGCCACCAGTGAAAGTGCTAGCAGAATGCAGCAAGTAGAGCAACTGCGTATGATGATTGCAGACCTTGTCGAACGTTTGGCCACATCAAGGCACCAGCTGGAAATCTTAGAGAAAGAGAAACTTGCCATGGCAGACTCCTTGGCCACTACTGCGGCCCAGAAGCATGAGATTGGCTCCAGATTGGAGGTGGCTATGAGCGAGAGCGATGAGATCCAGCAACGTTTCTCCAAATTGGCTCTTAATCTGGAGGATGAAAAGTCTACCAGCATTTCTTTGAGGAAGCGTGTTGAGGTCCAGGACATTGAAATTCAACAGCTGGAAGAGAAGGACGAGGCTGCACAAAAGCAGGCTAAGGCTTTGCTTGAAGAAAAGGCTGCATTGACAACTGAACTGGCTGCAAAGAATGAAGAGATAGAAGCGCAGGCGGCAGCGCACGCAGAGAGGCTCTCAGAAGTGAACGCACAAGTGTGCCAACTCGAACAGAAGGCGCTGGATTTAAATGGAACCCTGACTGGATCAATGTCTGAGAGTGCCCGCTTGGCAAACGCGTTGGAAGGAAAGGCAATGGAACTGGAGAACATCCAGGCACACCTGAGCAGAGAAAGAGAGCGTTTGAAGGCCTTTGACCGGCAGTTGTCTGCAACCTCCTCGGCCCTTCAAGATGCTGTCTTTGACAAAGGCTCGTTGATCCTTGAAATGGAAGGAATGCACATGGAGCGCGAAGATCTACTGGTACAACTCTCAAGTGCTCGAGGTGAGGCCGCAAAGTTGGAGGCAGATCTCCAGGAATTGACCAAGGAGGCTAAGACGGCCAAAGAAGCGAAGGACTCTGCCGTGCAGGAGCCTTGGAGTTCAGTGCGATAAGACGTTGTAAGTTGGTCAATGAGCCACCAATTGTATGGCAAACTTGGGAAACCATCACAGCTGGTAATGCTTCACTGCCAGGAGATCTGTGCTTGGCAGGTTACTGCGCAACTTTGCCAACGATTTGTAGAGCAGATCTCGCACCAACGTGACACTGCTTTGTCGGAATGCAGCAGCTTGACTTGTGAAATGAGAGCGGAAAAAGTGCAAGGTTCCCCGATCTTGGTCAAGGTTGGAGTAAACTTTCATATATATATATATATAAACGGAACCAAGTCAACAGACAGACCGGACCAATGCATCGTTTGCAAGGTAAGCTCCAAAAGGCCTCAGAGGACAAGCAGGAGGCCACGTGTTTGCAGGTTCATGGTGCTGCAGTTCAAGCTGCTTTGGTCTCGTGCTGAGTTTGTGATGTGCCAACAAGGAAATCGATTTCTTGAAGGAGAAGCTGCTTCATACTACTCAACAGCGCGAAGCAGCAGTGGCATGTCTGCCTTCAGACCTCTCAGGGTGCTTTAGATTTGTCCTACAGATTTTAAGTACATTTCCTCTGGGAACCCCTATTTTTCTGGGATTTTTTTT